TCCAGCCCCCGGGCCTTAGGTTGCCTACCCCTGAACTACAGTTTTGATAGCTGACATATAAAAGCAGGACTCAAGGTATTCTTGTTATGTAAAAATGATTATGGTACATACAATTGTTATAGGAATCAAAGAAGATATTTGCCTAGTTGAAGAGTTTTTTTTTTTTAAACCTAGGTGATTTGGCTAGGTCAACTAACAGTGACATTACATGAGTTAGTACATTACTACATTGCTACTTAATTGTATTTTATGCTGAAAGAAAATGAGCCTGTCAGAGACATAATTCCAATACTGTGATATTTTAATGTATCTGTCATTTTCTTGCATTTATTGTTTTAACTTAATTTTATTCTGCCTTTATAAAATATATAAGTAAACCCTAGACAGTTACTTGAAACATAGTGCACTAAGTGTACACTAAGAATGGGGACAAGAGAGTGGTTTACTTTTAAAACTTATTGACTTAAATTTAAATGTGTGCAGGTGTTTGAAGACAGTCTAATTCACTAAAGGCACCAGATCCCATTTAATCTTGAAAGCTAAGCAGAGTCAGCCCTGGTTAGGACTTGGATGGGGAACCACCAATGAATACCAGGTGCTGTAGGCTATATTTCAGAGCAAGGAACTGGCAAACCACTTGGAGTACTTCCTGCCAAAGAAAACCCTATGAAATTCATGGGGTCACTGTAAGCTGACAGGCAATTTGAAGGCAAACACTCGCCCACCCACATGAGTTGTAAGCCTGCAATAACTTTTCAATCAGTAGATGGCACACCTATCTATTAAACACATATCTTTGGAGTCTGTACTGTCTGAAGTTTGAGGAGGGTAGTTCAAGGGACAGTGCTAGAGTGACCATCCCTGCTGATGGCATGGAGCAGATGAATCCCTCCTGTTGGGCTGGTGAGGGTTGCAACATGGTAGCAGAAAAGGGTTACCACCAGCTAAAAGGGTTTTCAGAGAGGCCTGACACAATGTATTCATCTGTGACAGTGGTGTAACTTTGTTTCAACACTTTAGTGTGTCAAAGAAAGAACTATCTCATTCTGTTTGAGGCCATATACTTTTACTAGTGATCATATAAAATGAAAAAAGTCCATTAATGAGTTGCTTGTGAATTATTTTTCTATCTTGTTATTGAATCATGGAGGTGTAGAGATGGAGGGAATCACAAGGGTACTCATGTCTAATCCTCACCAGTGCAGAAATCCACAACTAAAGCATCCGTGAGAGATGCCCACCTACCCTCTTTTTAAAAACCTTTAATGGAAGAGAGTCCATCACTTTTTGAGGCAATCCCTTTTTTTATTACAACTGGGGACATTCTTTCTAGTGTTCTGAAAGAATCTTCTCTCTCTCTCTCTCTCTCTCTCTCTCTCTCTCTGAAGTTGAATTTATTGGTTCAGATCCTAATCTCTAGAGCAGCAGAAAACTGGCTGACTTTATCTTGTATATGGCAGCCCATTATATAAACATCTATTTAAATATGGCTATTATATAACTTCTGAATTTTTTCTTTTTGGTTAAATATACCAAGCTCTGCCAACTGTTCCTTTTAAAAGTTTGGTTTCCCATTCTGATTGCCCTCTTCTGGACAGATACTTAACTGGTATTCTGATGTTTTAGGAGTTACTGAACCAGGACATCTTTTGGGCATACATACTGGCAAGTTCTCCAAGATTGTGATTGTTGGACAATTCATTTTTGACTTATGGCAACCCTAAGGTGACCCTATCACTAGTTTTTCTTGGCCAGATTTGTTAGGAGGGGGTTTGCCTTTGCTGTCCTCAGAGGCTGAGGTTTCCATGGCCCACTGGGTGACCTTGGGCAAGTCATACTCTGAGCCTGAAAGGGAGACAAAGGCAAATCCTCTCTGAACAAATCTTGATGACCAGTTCAAAAAATATTTTTCTTCTTGTTAGTCCACCAGACTTGTGAATAAGCCTACAAAAAGATGCTAAAGATGCTAGATTGCAACTTGCAAAACAACTAGTCTGAGAGGGTTGAAGTTTGCGGTTTTGTATTGGTTGTGGGAGAAGGGAAGCTGTTGCCTCCAAATCCAGTGTGGCAGCCAAAGTTTTTGGCATCTCAACAGGATAGTTAAACAAAAGTGGCCTTCTATTGAACAGGCGTGTGGATGTGAGATGGGTTGCTCCCTTGCTTTCAAATTTCTCTGGTTTGGCTGCTGGCCTTTGCCAACTTTCTGTGATGTAATCATTTACTGCTACCAGGCTAGCTGTTAAATACAAGGGTGATAAAACATTACCCTGATAAACCTGGATTATATCAGCTATGTGAGGAGACTTCTGCTCATGCAATGAGGCCTTCACTTAATTCTCTTACTTTGCAGATCTGTGTGGATGTGACTTTAGAAGAAGTACAGAAAAATCTGTTTCACCTGTGTTATTTATTCCATGGAGGATGTACACCATTAAATATGACTGTCTATGGCAGGGATAGGCAACCTAAGGCCCGGGGGCCGGATGCGGCCCCCTGAGGCCTTTGGACTGGCCCCAGGCCGATCCTGCCGCTGCCGCCGCCGCCGCCGCCGCCGCCGCCCACTATGATGATATTGATTATTGTTGTTACTACTTGTTCTTGGGGTTTTCTTGACAAAATCTCCACAGGGGTTTTGCCATGGCTTTTCTGGGGCTCAGAGAGTGTGCATGCATATTTTTTAATTTTTAAAAAATTTTTAAAAAAATATTTTATTTATTTACCAGCGTATAAGACGACCCAGTGTATAAGACGACCCCCCAATTTTCCAGTCAAAATATAGAGTTTTAGCACCTCTAGCCTCCTTATCCTTATACCCGACATATAAGATGACCCCCCCCCACTTTAACCACAGATTTTGCAGGTTAAAAAGTAGTCTTATACGCAGAAAAATAAGGTTTATTTATTTTTGGTGCTTCGGCCCCCCAATTGTCTGAGGGACAGCAACCTGGCCCCCGGCTCAAAAAGGTTGCCTACCCCTGGTCTATGGTCTAAAACTTTGATTAATCACATGATTTCAAGCTTACATTCCTAAAATTTGACGTTTGGAATCTCTCTCTCTCTCTGTTATCAATACTGAGTGTTAACACAACTTTTCAAAAAACATACCCTCATTTGGAAAAGTAGTAGTTCATTGAAATATGTGTTTGTACCTCTCAAGATACAAGTATATCTATCTGGACTTTTAAAACCATTTTATAGCAATCTGATGTTTACAAGTATTAGAAAAAAAGATGGCTCTTGAGATGTTGTTGAGCTGCAACTCCCAGCAGCACTAATTAGGATAACCAATGGTGAAGAATGCAGAGTTGTAGTTCAATAGCATTTGGAGGGTTGCACAGAGCAAGCATGGCATAGTGGTTTGAGTGTTGGACTGCAACTCTGAAGACTGGGGTTCAATTCCCCACACGGCCATGAAACACACTAGATGACCTTGGGCAAGTCAAATGCTCTCAGCCTCAGAGGAAAGCGATGGCAAACCTCCTCTGAATAAATCTTGCCAAGAAAATCCCGTGATAAATTTGTCTTAGGGTCTCTATAAGTCAGAAGTTGAAGGCATAAACAACAACAGTTGCCTTTCCTTTTTTTATATAGTGAACTCTTTGTGCAAGATCTGTTTACTCTAACTTCACTTGTGAATGTTAAAGCAATGGGATGGTGCTGTAATCTTGGAACTGAGAGGTTTGGGAAGCTGCCTAAGTCTTACTGCTGCTAATATCTGTCTTTAATCTAGCCCAGGTATATTTGGAAAATGTCTTAAGAAAAAGCTCATTTTCAGTATTTTCTGAAAAAAAAAAACAAAACAGAAAGACTTTGTGTTCCAATTTAAGACTGGTTGGATTTTGCTCCCATTTCTATTTTGCAAATGTGACTAACAAGACAGTTTAACAGCATGCAGTTAGCTATTGGCATAGCATAAAGTGCCCCTGTAGTGCAAGATACTCTATGCATAATTTTCTCATTAACTCTGTGCTGTCTTTTGTGCATGGCTTCTGCCATTTCAAGGCAGAGAAAATGTGGCCTCATTAAATTTTGTATTACAGGGTTGGGGAATGTATTCATCCTGCTCTGACTGAAACAAATGAGGCTGTAGGGGAATTTCTTTGATACTGGTTTCCTGATCTTAGACAGATTTAGGTGTACCTGAATTGGCAGAAATGATCTTAAACATGCCTGACTTAATAGTGCAATCCTGTACAGGTCTACTCAGAAGTAAACTGTGTTGCATTCCCTGGAAATTGTTTGCAGCTAAGTGGGTACAAGAAATCTCACTATAGCTTGCTTCAAGGTTATTCTACAATGTACTGTTTAGGAACTCCTGTTTAAGTTTCTTTTGCATGTTGATTTTTGAAATAAGTTATAATTAGAATTGGGTTGTTGTTGTGTGCCTTTAAGTATTGTCCGACCTGTGGTGGCCCTAAGGTGAACCTATAACAAGGTTTAAAATTGTCAGAGGAAGTTTACTTTTGCCTTTGCCTTCCTCTGAAGCTGAGAGAGTGTGACTTTCCCAAGGGCAGCCAGTGGATTTCTTTCACCAAGAGGGATTTTAACCCTGGTCTCCAGAGCCATAGTCCAGCAATCAGACTACTATACCACACTGGCATGCTGATTTTCATAAGCATCTGTTTTTACAAGATGTTATAATGTTCCACTGTATTTTTTTTTTAAATCCTGTACTTTCCATAAAATCATCTGACTGTTTTGTTACCAAGGACACATCTGGAACAATATCTCTGCAAAATGTCTTTTGGATTTCAAACATACAAAAGGAGAGTTCAGAGATGCTTCTGGGTATAAACTGAATCACTGTCCCTAATTGGCTCCTCTAGTAAACATACACATCATACAAAAGTCCTGAATATTCATACATTTTAATGCATATCTGTGTTTGATTTCATAACAAATTTGTTAACTATGTAATATTACCACTGTGCATTGGTGTACATAACTATGGCCTCCAGATGGTTTTGGACAGCAGCCTCCATAATCTTTCACCATTGGCTTTGTTAGCTGGGACTTTTTGGGAGTTGTGATTTTCCATCCCTCTAGTAAAATGGAAGGACTGTATCCTGATTCTTCCATTAATATTGCACCCTCCCCCTCCCCCCCCTTTTCGCATTCCTTATTGCCTGAATGTGTGAACTGGCTTTATGTTAATCCTTTTCTACACAAGCAAATCTTATGTTCGTTTGTAGTCTTTCATGCCTTATAAAAGCAACCCCACCCAATTGGGATGAAAGGATTCTAGCATAGCCCATGCTCTATATTTCAAGTCTTCCGCTTGTAACGTATTTTTAATACCACAATAATGTAATTCTCACTTATATCTTTTTAAATTTAGACTTCTCCCAAATTTTGTCCAAATCAGCCCAGTTTTGTTCTGGATTTGGAGTTTCTAAAAATGTAGGGCACTCTGTCATCCGTACCAAGAGAGTCCATTGATGATTTTCAAAAACTTTAATTCTACAAAGTTCAGTAGATGGTTTTCCTGTGGAACAGAATACAGAGCTGTGAAAATACAGAAAAGAAAGAGGATAAAATGCACTGAGTTTACTAATAATGGCAAGATGTATTCTTGAATCCTGGCTACTTGATAATTACTCCCTGAAGCTGTGTAATTTCTGCTGCAATTGTAGTGCAACCCTTGAACATCAGGAGGCGGTAGGTTATTCAATAGTTTGATTATGAATTCTAGGTGTAGCTTTTATCATAATAATAGCCTGTTTTTTAAGATAATCTCTTTCCTAATCTGTTCCCTGAATTCCTTTCTTTCATGAACTCTACTATATCAGTTCAGATTGTATACTGAAATTTAGTTTAGTAGATTAAATCAGCCACCACCACCACCTGTGCATCAACAAAAACAATAGTATTGGTGTACTGGACACTGGAATATTGATGTTCCCAGTTCTTGATAATGAACTTCACAGAAGATCTATCTTCTTAGTGCTAAGGGCAGCATTGGTGATGAAAACAGGGCTTTGTACATGCTTTATCAGAAATCAATTTATCTGCAAATGGAACCCCATTAACGGAACAGAAATGGTCTAAAAATTAACACTTCATGTACTGCTGTGATGAGACTTTTTATTTCCCTACTACTTGACATCTTTTAAATTTACCCTTGTTTCTGTGCCTTTAACAGGATTTGGTTTATAAACATTAGTGATAATTTTTATCACCTATATCTTATCTATTACTTTATTTATACTCTGCCCTTTAACATAGGGCTGCTTAATAAAAGATAACATTTATCTCCACATTATGTGAATATATCTGTGAATTTACAGATACATTTCTTTTAAAAGCACAGCATTTTGCCAGGTGGTCCATACTCTGCCCCTACCATGGTCATTTGACAATCAGAAACCAGCAGAATTACTGCTTTCAGATTGGTCTTTTTAAATAGAGTAAATTTCATAAGTGTGAATTTTGTGTTGAATAATATATTCACAGTTACTAAAATGTTACACTATGTTTGGTTCACATATGTGCTGGTCCAGGATTCCCACAGTACCTTTCAATTGAGTGGCTTCTATTTGTTTGGAATAATGTGTCTGTATAACCCAGTGTTGAAAGTAATACATCCTTTCTTGTTATGTAGTTCCCTTATCAATGTTGGGAGGGACATATCTTTCCTTGTAGTGACTTTTCATTTTACCAAGTCTTAAAACTCCTATTTAAATGATCTTTTAGTGATACTAAAATAGCACTGGCAGTAATCTTTGAGAACTCCTGGAGAACAGAAGTTCCAGCAGACTAGAGGGGGGCAAATATTGCCCCCATCTTCAAAAAGGAGAAAAAAGAGGATCCCAACAACTATCGCCCAGTTAGTCTGACATCAATACCAGGAAACATTCTAGAACAGTTCATTAAACAGAGAGTCTGTGAACATTTAGAAGGGAATGCCATAATCACAAAAAGTCAACATGGGTTTCTCAAAAACAAGTCATGCCAGACTAATCTGATCTCTTTTTTTTTGATAAAATTACTAGCTTGATAGATGAAGGGAATGCAGTAGACCTCACATATCTTGATTTTAGTAAGGCTTTTGACAAGGTCCCCCAGTATATTCTTGCAAACAAGATAGTAAAATGTGGGCTAGACAATACAACGGTTAGGTGGATTAGTAACTGGTTGACTGAACCCAAAGGGTGCTCAGCAATGGCTCCTCTTCATCCTGGAGAGAAGTGACCAATGGAGTGCTGCAGGGTTCTGTCCTGGGGCCAGTGCTATTCAACATCATATCAACAATTTGGATGAAGGAATAAGGGGGCATGCTTCTCATATTTGCAGATGACACCAAATTAGCAGGAATAGCTAATACTCCAGAGGACAGGATGAAAATTCAAAATAATCTTAATAGATTAGAAAGCTGGGCCAAAGCTAACAAAATGAAATTCAACACAGAAATGTAAGGTAATGTACTTAGGGCAAAAAAATGAAATGAATAGATAAAAGATGGGGGACACCTGGCTTAACGAGACTATGTGTGAAACAGATCTTGGAATCCTAGTAGACCACAAGTTGAACATGAGTCAGCAGTGTGATGCCGCAGCTAAAAAAACCAATGCAATTTTAGGCTGCATTAGTAGAAGTATAGTATCTAGATCAAGGGAAGTAATAGTGCCACTGTATTCTGCTTTGGTCAGGCCCCACCTGGAATACTGTGTCCAGTTCTGGGCACCACAATTCAAAAAGGATGTTGAATAACTGGAGCACGTCCAGAGGAGGATGACTAAAATGGTGAAGGGTCTAGAAACCATGCCCTATGAGGAATGACTTAGGGAACTGGATATGTTTAGCCTGGAGAAGAGATGGTTAAGAGGGGATATGATAGCCCTGTTTAAATATTTGAAGGGATATCATATTGAGGAGGGCGCTAGCTTGTTTTCTGCTGTTCCAGAGAATAGGACTTGGAATAATGGATGCAAGCTACAGAATAAGAGATTCCACCTCAACATTAGGAGGAACCTCCTGACAGTGAGAGCTGTTTGAGAGTAGAACACACTCCTTCAGAGTGTAGTGGAGTCTCCTCCTTTGGAGGTCTTTAAACAGAGGCT